CTGTGAATGCTTCCTGTGTGTGTTTTTGAAAGATTTCTCAAGTAACTCACTTATGGAAAAAAAAAGAAAAAAAAGGGAATGTTGGTGAGGATTCATCGTGACATTTTGCTGTTTCTTTGTGAATGCTGCCTTCCCGAAGAAATACCACTGATCCCGTGCTTGTCTTTGTGATTTTTTTTTTCTGTTTGACATTATGCTTCCCACCCTGGCTGTTGTCGTTGTTGCTGTTCAGCTCACATTGATCCATATCCACAGATACTAACAAGCAGTATATACAGTATATACAGAATATACTGTATAAAATAAATAGAAATCTGATGCAGAGAACTGGAAAAGTTTATGTCAGTGTTTACTATTTTAAAGGATTTCGCAGGATAAAAAAGGATGTTTAGCTTAGTATAAAGGTGAAAAAACACGGTGAGGAAACTGCTCATGTTACATAGTACTTGTAATGTCATTTTCAGCCCTATGTATTATAAAAAATAACAGCGATGCCTGGGCTGTGCTCACAAACAGCATAACGAGCGTCCAATATGTTCTATTTCCCAACTGCTAATGAGCTGAAACAGCAGTCTTTGTGACAAAATGGCCAGATCTCAGCTGTGATTCCAGTGGCGTCTGCATTGAGACTCTGTGCCTCAGCCTGACTCCTCACTGTGAGCTGTTGCATCAGATGAATTTGTGCTGCTTCACTTCTCATCCACGCTGCAGCTCATCCTCTCACAGAATACACTGTTTCATCGAACTCCATCCGTCCAAGTGTCACACTGAAACATTTAGCGATGTTCCTACTGAGAACTAATACGTACTTTTGTGTGTATCCATAGAGTATGTAGAGTCACATCCCATACACTGTGCAGTAAATAATTGCACTGCGCTTGATGGTACTTAGTAAATTTAACATAATTCTTCAGACCAGGCATGGGCAAACTAAGGCCCGGGGGCCAGATTCGGCGCGTTCAGCTTTTTAATCCGGCCCACCAAACTTTTCCAAATTATATATTGTATTTATATTATCATTATACTTCTGCTTTTTCTCTGCATTACCCACGTTTCCCCAATAGATGGCATAGAAAATGATAAAAGCATTTTAGCCTTTGAGCATGACTTTTACATGTCATTTATCTTATCAGTCTCCAATTGTGGCCCGCGAATCAAAATGTTTGCCCACGTCAGGTTTAGATATACAAACTAATAGTGCTACGTGTAATATTATAAGTAGTAATATGTACTAGATACCAGAGCTGTAGAAGCTCTCGTGAGGTCAGAATGTGGGTTTCATTCTTTTCTAAACCTAAGGTTGCCAGATTATTCTGGTATTCCCAATGTAGGCCGCTCACACAAACAAAACAAAGCTGACACTATGGTTGGCCTATTATTTACCTCACTTTCCAAATGTTCTCCACATTGCTGTGTCCACTGTGGAACTCTGTTGACTTCTCCTGTTCCTCTCTTCTTCAGGCCACCTCTCTTGATAAGGAGGGGCAGGTTCTCAGACGAGGATGCCACCCGGATGTGAACCCTCCGCCTCCGACAATGACGCTGACGATGACACCGGTAACAACAATAACAACAAAAACTCTACGGGCTGAACCTCCCAGTTCCCTCCCCGGCCTGCCCACGGCCCCTCCCTCGCCGACCCCTGAGACTTGTTCTGACGCCTCCCCGGATCCCAGCCTCCCATCTGACTCTGGCGACATCTCCATCAGCTCCCCCAGCACTGTCTGCTCACCCGACTCACCCTTCTAGGTGAGGGGGAGTAAAGTGAGAAGGTGCAGAGGAGGAAAGGAGAAGGGAAAATCCTAATCTTGCTCCTTCTTACATGAAGAAGGGGGAGTAAGAAGAGGAGTACGAAGGCTGGGAGGCGAACGTAGTTGGAGAAACTTTTAATTTCCCTATATCCATCTTTCTAAGCCTTGAGGGGAGATCGATCAAGGGTGGTGACAGGAAATCAAGAGGCAGGCAAAACGAGGTGGAAGACTTTTCTTTCTTTTCATTCTCTCACCTGAGCACATGTTGTGGAGCTCAAGGAGCCAGAAAGGGGGCGGCAGAAATAGTTTCCCCTTCAGTGATGATTTGGGCTCAACATGGAGCAGCTCTTCGAGGCAATATGAGAATAAAGACTAATGTTCATGTTTTATTGAACCTTATTTATTCATTCTTTTATTCACTCCATTTTCTTCTTTCAATTTTGTGTTTCACTTTTTCCACAACCTTATATCTTGTTGTTGATTTTTTTCTAAAATGTTTGCGATTTGAAAAAGTGCGTAGTAGTGGAACGGCTAGCGACGGTAGGCTTAATGGACAGTGAAATTGAAAATGGAAAACTGAAGATTTTCTTGGGGGGACAAAAAGGTGTTCACTGAGGAAGATTCGAATATGGAACGTAGAAATGCTCGAGTGCTAAGAGTTAGTGCAAACTCAGTATTGGCATGGCCTTCTTCTAATGTTGGACTGCAGTACGGAAGTTTACATTTGACTCAAAACGACTTTTTCGACAGAAAATGGTGCATTTGATTGTCGTTCTACCTTATTTCTCCATACCACCTTAAACACGAAAAGAAACCTGAGGAATTTGGGTGCCTGTGTAGCAAACTCCACCGTCAGAATTTGTTCACTCTCTTTTTCTGTTCTTTTGGTTTGTGTTCTTTCCGTGCTGCTCCTTTAAACATTTGCAGCCTTATTCACATTTATCCAAAGGGGATGTTTAACTCTTCTGTTCCAGCAGATTTAAAAAGTGTATTTGTGGCATCACACGTGCACTTATATGGCTTTGGAGATGTTTTTAGAAGTACATTTCGTGCACTTCAGTTTATGTGGATCAGAGGATACGGTACAGCATATGCACAAAGAGTTGCAGGAAAAGCCGAAAGTCGATACGGATGCAGGAAAACCAGCAACATTTTTATGGAAGCAGTATGTTAGTGAAAATGGTTTATATCAAGCTCTGTGCAACCTCATTCATGGCTTCATTTATTTAGATGAAAGCATGACAGACATACAGTAGCCTATCTTTATTCTTAAAAAAAACAAAACTGTTCAATGGAGAAGTATGGTTTATATGTTATGTAAATAACATGATTTTCTTTATTTTGATAGTTCACAATATAGTATATTTCTTACTAGTAACATGACAACTGTAACAGTCATATATATATATATACGTGTGTGTGTGTGTGTGTGTCGGCAATGATTTTAAAAGAGACCATGATGTTGAAGCAGGTGTGTGGAGTCGGATTGAAAAAGAACATTTCGACCTGTTGTCATAAAACTTTGATGAATCCACGCGGTCAGAAGGAAAATGAAATGACCTTTTGGCTTTTTGTCAGAAAGTGACGGTGCCACTTCAGCAAAAGCCGGCAGGAGAAATGTTTCTGCTCACTGATGTGGAATTTAGAAAAGAGCAGAAGTCCGGGCGGTGAGGGAAACGCATTTGTTGTTTGGCTGCAGTTGTTCCGTGTGTCTGTGACTTTCTGTATTTCTGCCCTTCATCACACACAACAGTTATGTGCTGCTGACACTGATCCGATCACTATGGATTTCGTTGTGCTGTTCAAATGCAAACACGCACTTTGCGGCACATTGGCACACGCAGTTAACCAAAGTGCTTTCCCAGCTGCACCACAGTGTTACGATCTATCGCAATACCGATACAGTACCTGTACCTCTGTTCAACAATGGTCTATCAATAATTATAGTAACGATTAAAATGTGTTTCAAAATGAATTCTCTGTGGTTTTATACCCATTTAACATCGTGTGAACACAAATATATAGGGAAGAATGTCAACTATGGATGAAGTGAAGACCTAATGTGTTCTATGAAGTAATTAAGTCAATTAACAGAAAAAAGGGACATTAAAATGGACCAGAGGTGGAGTACATGGTTCAACAACACATGGTTTAAACAACTGCGTAACCGGTCGTCGTAGTAAACTGTGTGTTTTCATTCATTCACAGTGTATGTTTTATGTCTCCTGTTGTCTTTCATTTTCCTCTAAATAGGATCACGGGTTACAGGATTAGCATCGTCTTTTTCTGAAAAGGCCTAAAATCTAGCATTAGTTACTAAACAAAAACTACGTCACGTGGTGTTACTTGAAAAACCAGGGGAACCCTTCCTCAGTATTACAGTACACCTGTAGTGCTAACACCATCTTGACCTTCCCGACACTAAAATGTCAATAATATGAGCCTGCTGCTACAGAAGAACCTCAACCTTCCCGATCACAGCAGTTCTTTATGTACTCACTTTGCTCACGCTGCTTAAATTATTTTTATGCATTCCCATACAATTGTGGCCAGAAATGTGGGCTGTACAGTGTTTGACACAGGAGGTGCTCTGCATAGAGGTAGAGTGATAGAATACATGGATATTTCCCCGACCCATTTATCAGGAAAATAGGTTTTTAGGCTTCCCCTTTGCTGTGTCAGATTTGCAGGAATAAGGGCAACCGAAAAGGCTACAGGTACAGTGTTGTGCAGTACTCAAACTGTAGGATTTGGTATCATCAAGATGAAATTTCATGTTAAATATCACTTTGGAATTTGTGTCCAACCTTGTAGCTTTGGGAGGTTTTGTTTCAGTGGTTATTAACTCTGAGAGCTATTTGTGTTGATAAACTTAAGAAAAAAACCCTAGAATAAATAAAATGAGACAAATGGCAAAGGCAAAACACTGTCTTGCCACTTGTAATAAAACAAAACAAAACAAAACAAAATTTAAAGGTCGGATTGCTAATTTATAAGTTGGAATTTTAAACTATGCTGCACTTGCTAGAGCAGGGGTCGTGAACCTAAGGCTCGCCAGCCAGATGTGGCTCTTTTGATTACTGCATCTGGCTCTCCTTCTTAACACAATATGTAATAATTCACTATTGACACACGTATATAAAAGGTTTTTGGTTTTTTTTTTGGACGGGAGGGGTACAAATAAAACAAAGTTGAGCTTTCTGGTGACATTTGGGTGTAAAATAGATAAAAGGTGCATTTTTTCAGATTGACCAGCAGGAGTCAGTATAGGGTAAGGAACAACAAAACAACACAGTACGAAGAAGAAAATCCTCGCGGCATAAACATTTAACCTTCAAAGAGAGGCTGTTACAAATTACCGCGTTTGCTTCTGAAATCGTCGATAAGGTAATAATAATACTAATAACATGAGTGAAGATGACCGTCCTCCTTCGACACTCAAAGACAAAGACTCCACTCTCCTGCTTACTAAAGACGGACAGCGCTACTACGTGAGTAAGAGCGGCGCGGTGGACAGTAGAAATGTAATAACGCCGCACGAAGCGGACAACAACGTCTCCTATGACATGGACGACGCGGACGAGGAAAGCGACGTGTTGGACACATCAGACCCCAGAGACAGCGCTGCCAGTCCAGAGGAGCCCAACGACGAGGAAACGTCAGAGGGAGACAATGCCCCGAAACAGTGCACGTATGTGGGGTGCAACGAGACCACCACCCAGGTGGCCAAGCAGAGGAAGCCGTGGATGTGCAAGAAACACCGCAACAAGATGTACAAGGATAAGTACAAGAAGAAGAAAAGCAACCAGGCCATGTCCAGTGGAAAATTAGACGTAAGATTGAATCTTTCCTAACCTTTCTTTTTTTTTTAAATGTTGTTTTAATGTTGTGACATGTAGGAGAAAATTAGAGTTCCAGCCACAACTTAGTCAGCTGACTATGAAAATATATATGCGTGTGTATTTATTGATGTACGTGTGTAGATATATGTACATATATCTATATGTTTATATATATAATTGTGTCTATATATCATTTGGGTTTATATTTATGCAACCGATGATATGTGCAAAGATATATTCACAATGTATTTCTTTACTGTCCTGAATAAGTTTTTGACTCAACCTGCAACCTTCCACCCAAATCTGCTTTCTTAGCCACCAGGCTGGCGGAATAGCCTAATAAATAGTTTTGTGACCAATTAGGCTTTATATAATTAACATCTACCATCTGTTGATCCTGCTATTATACACCACAGACCACACCATATACTTGCTGATTTAATTTCTTTAAAATCTCCCTGTTATTTAACACATAACATGTTGTATAACACATAACATAGCAACATCCCCAAACACAGAGAATATATATTTCAAATATTATATAATAAATACACCTCAACTCACACTTGTGACTGTGGTAAATAGGAAAACTCTGAGGAGCGACCCGTGTCTGTGAACAAACAGCGGCTTGGTGCCATGGGGGACAGACCTGCCCGCCCCTCCCTGATAGAGCAAGTCCTTAATCAGAAGAGACTGGTAGGTCACACGGATCTGTTCCTCTCTAAATCACCTGACCAACTTATGTCAAATAAATATTTCCCTTCTTGCCAGATATTATTATGCAGGATTTTGCCTCTTTGGTCACAGGTCTGCTTTATACTGTTTTTTTGCTGATCATTGTATGACTTTATTTCTTTAAAAGGAAAGCATAATGTTGACAGAACGCCTATAAAATATAATAAATAATAAGTTGTCTTTCACAAATGTTTTCATTCAGCCTGGGACACTTCTTTTAATTAATTACATAATAAACAAAAGTCCTGGGTTTTTCTTCAAAAAAAGACCAAGAAGGTATTTTGTTGTTGCTTTTTACTCACATTTGAATGTTGTGTGTCCCTCAGTCGCTGCTCAGAAGTCCAGAGGTGATCAGTTTCCTGCAGCAGCAGCAGGAGCTCCTGGCCGCACAGAGCCGCAGCCAATCACAGGGCCACTTCCAGGGTTGCTGACATCGGCTGTTGAATACAACACCATCGTTTCTTGTGTAAATATTTCTCAACCATGCACTGTTTCTATGGAGCTCTTCTGCCACTCATAAATAAGTTCCCACTGATGACTTTTATATCATCAAATAATCATCCGTTAGCTTTATTTCAAGGCAGAATATGGCAGATGATGTTTTAAAAACAAATTTTAAACATAAAAATTGTTCAGTTTGTTGTGGTCTAAGAAGCAGCGTAAACAGAAAATATTATAATATTTTTAAATCTGACAGATGGAAATTTTAGCCGTCAACGAAGAATCATCTTCTTGTTGACATTGAGGAGCGCAACATCTCTGACCGTGTCATTTCATTTGAGTTCGGCTTTAGCTGTTGTGATTGTTTACTCTAAAGGTTTTACTTTAAACATCAGAGTATTACATGTGATGAACAGACTATATTTACACATAAATTCAATTCAGGTTTGGTGCTAAGTAAGGTATTCGTGTTTGCACTACGTTCTCTGTGTTGTGAGTAACAGAGAGGTGAATGTTGTGTCTGTGTTTAGGTTTAATGTCGCTGTCCTGCTGTGAGGTTTAAATTAAAATTATTGCGCCGTTATTGACTTTGTTTACCTTCACCAAGGATATCATGTCTTTTATCTGTGTCCCATCTGTAACTGCGTTCGTTAGCTGTATTGTGAAAAAAAAAAAACTCAGTGGATTTTTATTTATGCAACTTTGCAGAGGGGTGGGATATGGTCCAAGGAAGAACTCATAAAATTCTGGAGTGCATCCACATTAAGGGGCGGATCCTCGGGTTGGCTAATCTCTAAGGCTTGAGTAAATTTGAGGGGACTGTTTGCTGAGTTATGTGCTCCACAAAGTGCCATACCAGTATGATATGATATACAGTTGAGGACAAAATAATCAGCTTTCATAACCTAGTCAAGTTCTTGAATAACTTCCCAAAAGCTTTCACAGAGAAGATGGGTTTTACGCATAACCTTATTTGGATGATGTTTATTCATATTTGCCTGCAGAAGGAAAAACTTCACAAAAATGTCAATATAGTTGATGCTTCTACTGATTAATTGCGTGATTCAAGTCTGTGAAGATTCTCAGTCATCCAGGTCAAAAGTTCTGTTAGGCACCTGGATGCCTAACAGAACTTTTCAACCTTGCGTGATTCAGTTTTCATTCAATCGCATTTTCTTTTAGTTTAATAAAAGCTAATGCAGTTGTGTCCGGTACATTTAAATTCTTCTAGTTAATATTACAGGAAGACAAAATGTGTTTAAAAATGATTAACATACATGTTAACAACATGTGAGCAGTTTTGTATGTGCCATAAAAAGGTACATTTGTGTGTTTCTAATTTCAAAAATAGAGTGGTTTCAGACCTTGGTTTCACGGCAGACTGAAGTCTGTTAAATCCTGGACTGAGGTGGTCAGATAAGACAAACCTGAATATCTTTAGCCACTTAAATGTTGTGGCTAAAGATATAAAACTTATCTGCTACAGTAACTGTCCAGGAAGTTGTCAGGAGAACAGGTCAGAGAAGAGTTTTTCATCTAACCAGTTGTGTGGGTTGTGAATGCAGAAAGTTTTGAAAGGTTTGGTCAATTGTGAAGTGGATGGTGCTGTTGCCATACAGTTTAAAGGTCACTTATTTGCTGGTTTAATCTCTGGGCTTTCGTTGTGGTCTCCCTTTTGGTGCGAATTTGACTGTGAATGTGACTGTTGATGGTTATTAATGTTGAATTGTGGCCTTGCTCGATGAAAAGGCTACCTATGTTTGCATTTATTTGTGTCGTGAAATGTTTTAAAAAAATAGACCTTAAAAAAAGTCTTGCATAAAAGCATTTGTGATAAAGCCAAAGGAAATACTTGCCTCTGCCTTAGGATGGATGGATAATCATTTTGTGCAAGCGCCATCTTTGTGACAGTAGATAGAATTACAAGCCTTACAGAAAACTCACTTTAATGGAATGAGGATAAAGCAACCAGTACAGGAAGTCAAACTTTCAACACTTGTAAATACAATACATACTACAATAATAACATTCATAACATATAACAACACAAACTTGAGTACCTACATATCCCAAATACTCTTGTTTTGGAGTGCAGTTACCATACCCTGATGGAAGATCGCAGAGAGGAGATAACTGTTGAAATAAACACATGAATATCTGGATACATGTCCTTGTTGAAGAGCTAGCGCTTTTGCATGTCTTTCACTTTCGCTGTATGGTTGGACGAAGCTGTAACTGAAATCGTTCTGTGAGCTGGAGAGTCAGGGCAGCAGGGACTGGACAGCTGGACACAGTAGAGGATACAGAATCTACGACTACCTGTGATAAAGACCTGAAAACACACACTGAAGCGCGCGCGCGCGTGTGTGTGTGTGGTCATGTTATGACACTGAGGAAATAGGATTGTGTGGAGAACCCATCTGTGTGAGCACCTTGTCCAGCCACTGCAGGGGGCCGTGCAGGTGTACCTCAATCCAGCAGGGGGTGCTGGTCACATCTTGACGGTGGTATTCAGCGCCCCAGCCCTGAAAAAGGACAGAAACTTAAACCTCGGCTTTGCAAAGGTGGCAGGAATTTGAGCTGCGTTGTGTTCAGTCGAACTTTACAAAGTCACTTCAACATGGAAAAGACAGGAAACAAAGATAAAGAAAAGTTTCTAAAGAGGAATGCAAACTGTGCTTTTGGTTATTATTAGTTGGGACTTTTCAAAAAGAGAGGCTTTTAACCTTTTCTTTTCCTGATGTGTTCCACATCACATCACTCTTCTGTCTCTTCTATTCACATGCAGACAGTAGCTGTTAATCCTGTTGCCGTTCATCTGTTCAATCTGTCCTTTCAATTATTTTTTTAAAATAATTTTAAATACCTTTTGATTTGTTAACTTTCACTCTTGTACATCTCCCCACCCTCGCACAGATGAAGCGCCCGCTCCAAAACCTCTGTCTTATTTATGCACTGGAAACTTGGCTTCAAACAAATTGCTTTAAAAACCTGAGAAGCCGTTGTCCTCAACAATATTAATTGTCAGTCTACAGTCCCTCGCAATCTGTTTGGCTGGTCTGACACCGGCCCGGCGTCTGCCCTGAAACTGAAGTCTCCATGAACCCATGCTGGGAGTTGAGATGGTATTTTAAGCTCAAGGTGCTTCGGTAAAACCAAAACTCTTTCACGCGGTTTGGNNNACATTTGTGGGGACTGTGTTTTAGAGCAACTACAGGTGGATGGACCGTGGAATTATTGGATGTAGGTGATACAATTTTTAATCGGATCTGAACCACAATTAATCAGTTGTTTATGACAGCACTGGTTTAGATATGAAACGTGGAAGTGGTGTGTGATGGTCAGACGTCCGGTACCTTGACGAAGCTCATTCGAATGGTGCACATCTTGGTGAGCTCATAGACGACCTCGAAGCCGTGGCTCACAGACTGGGCCAGGAGCTGAGCGAATAGCTGGTTGTTGAAGATCTTGAGGCTGCAGCCGCTGGGTATCTTACACACGGTGGTCGGATGGAAGCCATGCTGGAAATTACAGTTGCGGCTCTGGACGAAGATGCTGCTGTCACTTAGACACTCGGCGTACACCTCCCCCCCGACGTAGTACAAGTGTAAACCTAAAGAGGGGGATTGGAAGAGAGAACCAAATTAACTTAAATGCTAAAGCCAAGGACAACGTGAATATCTAGAAACTACTCAATGAAGGCATTGTTTTGAAGTGTTACTACGACAGGGTACGCGGCCAAAGATTATCTGTTAGAGCATGGAACCCACAATCAAAGATCTAAAGTACACAAACAAAATAAGGCTGTTTTTCATATTTTACCACCGAGAAAAAAAACACACACACAAGGGTACCTTTATTCTTTGGAGGAAGGAATGTAAGTAGTGTCAGCGATTTGGGGGCAAACTATCGTCAAGCCTTTGTCTCAACCGCATCACCAGAAACCACACGCATTATCTTTAGGCCGCCATTTCAGTAACCCACAAACTCTTAACAAACAACCTTAAAACCAAGAACAACTGTATGGTCTGAAGGCTTTTTCAACGTTAGACTGGTATTTTTTTTATTTTTTTGAGACCTGACACATGTAACTGGAGGTGATGTCCAGTGTGGTGGTAGCCATATCTCCCACCTTTGCCTATGTGTCTGCGGGTGTGCTCGATGGTGGAGTTGCGGTTGACGTTGGACAGCAAACCCAGGCAGAAGCGGTTCTTGTTGTTAGACGGGTCTGTGAAACCGTCCACCAGGACGCTGCGCGAGGACGCGTTGAACGTCTCACCGACCCGGTTGTTGAGCTCGTAGTACGCGATGGAACACCAGTACTCTGGCTCTTCGTAGCACACGGGCCGTAAATCTGAAACAAACAGGAAGTAGAACTGACTCAGAGGTGACCAGTGGAGAGACGTTCAGATTCCTTCCATATTCAGTTTCAGATACTTCATTACACTGTCATATAAATCCATCAGAAAACATCCGGCCATTGATTTGGAACATGATCCTCAGCAGCTCATGACGCACGGAAATCGAAGCCTCCGTTTGCTTATATTAATTCACACAATTAACATTATATTATACGGACTGTTTTTAACTCTCGCCGATGTGACTGTTACCTGTGTGTGGAGCGGAGAACATGAGTTTAGGGGTTCCTGAAGAATTGCTGGGTTTAACGTCCTCTTGAGGACTGGTCTCCATCATGCTGTATGGAGGTGGAGGAGTCTCAGCTGGAAACGAATAGACAGATTATTGAAGCAGCAAGAACAAGAAAACCCTGTGATGAGGCCTGAACCTGAGACGCTGTGGGGACAGTTTGAAACATCAGCCCTGTCTTACTTATCTATTGGCTGCATTTTAGCTGACCGGTCATACCTATCCCTCTCTATCATTTTGAGCTAATGTTACCGCAGTATTCGTTGGCTTACGTTGTCATTTTACTCAGCATTTTCCTCAACTTTTATTTATTTTAAAATCTACTTTGATGTGATTTTAACCTTTTTTACATTTGTGTTATATTGTCCCTACATTTCAGGTGTAACTTTGATCTATTACTGGGTGATCTGAGTTCACTTCTGGATTATTTTTATATTTTTCTAAATTTAATAACAATATTCTTTAGGGTTTTTCTTTTATTTTTACATCCAGTTTAGTTTAACATTTGCTGTGTTGTGCTTTAGTTTATACTTTAGCTACATTTCTGACATCATCCAGTCTGTACATATTTTTTTTAGTTATTCCTCGGCAGACCTCCAGTAATTTAGTAAAATTGTTTTCCTGCCATTTTGCTAACTTTAGGTGGTAATGTTGTATGTTAGCTTAACATGTCTTTGGAACTGAATTTTGAAGGAATTAGCTTTTTTTTGTGATAGTTTGGCTGCATCCAGATTTGTCTGGATTAACATTTTGTTTTCGCTATTTTAATTGCCTTTCTCTTGCACTGCTGTGCTCAACAAAACATAAACGTATCACATAATGTTTTGGCTAGTAGGTTGGTTTTAGCTTTTTCGATGTCATTATACACACTGACTGTGACCCCTGAAACTGTGAACCATACGACTGGACCCTACCTGTGATGTGATAAGGACTGCCAGGTTCTGCCGAGCTGTTGGGAGAGTCGGGGTAGCTCTGTGAGGTGGGAGACTGTGCCATGGAGGACGAGGTGGTGGTGGAGGAGAAGGAGGGGCAGGGCAGTGGAGGAAAGGAGTCAGGGAACGTGGCGTTCTGTGGCATCAGAGGCTCGCTGTGCAGGGAGGCATTTCTGAACTTTGCCAGTAAACTGTGTTGGGGGTTGAACTCACTGTGGCGTGGCACCAGAACTGGTGGCAGCACTGAGAGCAGAAGATCAGGGAAAGACGAGGAGAAAGAGGGAACAAGAGTTATTGAAGTCGAAACTCCGGCCAACCATTTTGGCTCAGGGAAACTGCACTGGATCGGATGTCCTGTCTCTAATTTGGAACTCATAACACTGCATTATTAAAATATAACTAAAAACAAACTCAAAACACTGTCTTGCCCCTCTTCAGAACATACCGGGGGTCTCCACACGCCTGTAGTGGTAGGGGTTGACACAGATGTCCTTCTGCTTGGAGCCGAAGGGGAACTCGCAGCACTCCAGGGCTTTCAGCTCATGGTGGGACTGCAGGTCAGGCCAGCGCCACACTCTGCAGTAGATGACGTGGGGCAAACCCTTTCTGTGTGACACCTGTAGTCTCCCGTCCAGTGAACGAGGGATCGTCACACATTTGCCTGTGATTTTAAGAAACAGTGAGAGAGAAGGTTGTATTTTGTTGTTGTACTTGAAACTACTGTTTTCTATCGACCACGGCAGCGTTTTGCCCTGGTCACATTTCACCATGTAAACTTTTCACAATGTCTGTTGATTGTTGTTTACACTGTTGTTTTTTCACAAGATGAAAATAGTGATTTTGATTATATGTATTTTTGGCAAATTAGTAGAGTTTAGGCAAATTTCCTGATAATTTGTCTCTTTATACAAATGTTTTGAGCTGGTCAAGTTGTCTGAGCATCAAGCAGCAGTCTTGTTCAGTTCATTGGACCAGTACTTTGCCACTCCACTTCACAGGAAAACTATTTTCATAGTATATACAATATATTTATATTACCAATGAGTATATTGTATATATAAATACAAACAATAGTAATAGTAATAATGTGTTTGTAGTTAGAGCTAGGTGGAAGATGAACCATCAGAACCACTGCTGCGGCTCAGAGGATTTTCATAACACCTGATTAAAGTCGTGGTAGGGCAAACTGTTGTCTCTTTGTTGAATATTGTTGTGCAGTGTGTACTTACTGGGCTGCCCTGGGCAGCTGAGCGCCCTTTCCAGCTCCTCCATTGCCCCCTTCTTTTTTTTGAGCTTCTTCACTAGAGAGTCCACAGCCTTTTCGGCCCACTTCTCCTCTTCATCACCCTGCTTCCAACCAAGCAGGCGCTTTACAGCCGGGCTGGTGAAGGAGAACAGTGATGTGATGGAGGTGGAGGAGTTCATTCTGAGATGAGTTATGACGGATGGTGTTGGAGTGTGGGTGATGCAGATGCTTGGCCAGGACAGTGATGAAAAGGGGGGAGTGGGGATGAGAAGAGGTAGCAAGGTGGTGCCTGTGCAAACAGAGGCTTTCTTCTTTGTTTGCTTTGTATTAAGATGTTACTTCCGAGCGGCCCTGGTGGTGGAGTTGGACTACTGCCACTGCAGCACAAACCCTAACTCTTCTCTTAGTTTTGACATGGAATGAACTGTGCAGCTCTGTAGTTGAAGCCTCGTGCAGAAACGTTTACTCCTTGAAAGTCGAGTCAAGTTGTTTTTGGTTGCAATCGCCTGTTAGGAGACGTAAACAAGAAAATAAATGATTACCTTCTACAAAAATATTTATAATTCATTGTTGATTCCGGATTTTTTTTTAAGGTTATGGCATTTTTGCACATCGTCTCCCCTACAGGGTGTGCTATTTACTCAACATGAATGCTATCCGCCCATGATTTTTGGGTTTCAAAAGTTTCACACCCACAAACTTATGGCTCCTCGCAAAGAAGGAAGAAAAATACAAGCAAAGGGCAGTGTCACTGCAAATAAACGTAAAGCCACGCACTCCTGGTAACCAGGAAATTACTAATTTGTAAGATTCTTCTGTTTCTTTTTGTTGAGAATTCCTGAATAATCTACCTTTGAATATAGTTGGCTGGAAAAGGAAGGTCAGGGATTGAACTGGGCCAAAGTAACTTTTGTGATCCCCTGAACTAGAGATAATAGTAGGAAACCAAAACAGTATATTTCCAAAACATACTCCTATTCAATGATCCATGCACTGGAGGTGAATACTTCATGATAAGGAGCCACTGTTCTAGACAGCCTGCCTGCATCCAAATGATCCCCTGTCAGTCTGAACAACAACAAGCTTATTATTTAGTGGGAAAAGGAAACGAACACCAGTGAAAACTGTCTGAGAAAGATCAAGGCAACGCAGCCAAGATCATTTCTAGATTCACCAACAATGAGGAATGTCCTTTCTGGCCCCCGTTTGTATGATCATGCCACTGACGCCCAGGAGCCATACAGTCTGGCCAGAACAC